TTCTGATTCAGTAGGCATGAGGTGAGACCGTAAAATACGCAATGCTAACCAAGTTTATAGTTGACTAATGTTGCTGGTCCAAGAACCACATTTTGATAACCTCTGTTTTAGAGACTTAGAGCCAAACTGCTCCAAAATTCACATAACTATATGGGCCTTCACACTCATTGTAATTCATAAAAAATCTTTCACTTCCTTATGATGTTAATAAAAAATATACATTATGATTAAAATTAAGACCAAAATAGCCATGATATTTTCATATAGATGTTACTTTGAAATAAACATATATTAGAATTACTATAATGGGAAAATATGAAGTTGGGTTTTTTTAACTCAAACTAAAATGTGATAAAACTCTTATACATATTTCCTTTGTAACCCTTACCACCATTATAACTAAATAATTAATTAACTGCTTGTTTAATGTCTCTTTCCCCCCACTTGATTTCATTCACTTGATCATAAGGGTAAGGACTGTCCTCTATAGTTCACTATTGTATTCCTATTGCCTAGCACAGTGTCTAACACATAACAGGTATAATTATTGAAAATAATTAAAATATGATATTAATTATATTTAAATTTGTATATTTAATTTTTAATATAATTAAAAATAATTGAGTAAATGAATAAAAATCTATTACTATTAAAGGCCTATTATTACTATTACAGGGCCACATTCTGGGGGTATAAACGTTTATTGGATATAACCCCTCCCCTCGAGCTGCTCACAGACTATTAAAGGAGTAGAAATATATACAATTTATCATAAGGCAATGTGATAAGTTCTTTATAGTAATATGAACAAAATGCTATCAGACAAAATGCAAAGGCTGGTTAAAGCTGCTAGCAAGTAGGGATGTGGCAGAAGGCTTCAACAAGGAGATGACAAATCCCAACGTGTAATACATCTGCTATATCACTCCTATTGCTAGTAATCTTGAGTATGTATAAGGTTCTCTATTAAGCTTTATGAAAATGAAATATATTCTATTCTAACACAAAGTCTGATATGTAAAGTTTAACAGCCTCTATAAAACAGGATGAACTGCTACTCATAGTTCGTTTTTTTTTTTTGAGACAGAGTCTCACTGTGTTACCCGGGCTAGAGTGCCGTGGCGTCAGCCTAGCTCACAGCAACCTCAAACTCCTGGGCTCAAGCAATCCTTCTGCCTCAGCCTCCCGAGTAGCTGGGACTACAGGCATGCACCACCATGCCCGGCTAATTTTTTCTATATATTTTTAGTTGTCCGATTAATTTCTTTCTATTTTTAGTAGAGACAGGGTCTCGCTCTTGCTCAGGCTGGTTTCGAACTCCTGAGCTCAAACAATCCGCCCGCCTCGGCCTCCCAGAGTGCTAAGATTACAGGCGTGAGCCACCGCGCCCGGCCGCTACTGATAGTTTTAAAGGAAGTATCATTTGCTGCCTGTTCTCCTCTAAATCTTTCCAAAAAATTCCCCCTCAGACACTGTAGAGAAGTAAGAGGGAATAAATTAGATAAACAAAGCTAATAAGATTTTAGAAGGGGTTGAAATCTGTGAAATATGTATACAGTTCTTTCCATACTTATATAAGTAATGACTAAAGAATAACACATAATTTTCAATAAGTTACAAAAACAAAGAACATCTGTGTTACTATCTAAAAATGAACTAATCTATAACATTATTAAAATAGTTTTCACAAATAATTATGGTGGCAATATAGATATTTAAATTTTCAAAGTAGACCTGGAAGAGAAGCATAAAAATAATAAAAATGTTCCATATTGCACCTTCATCGCCTAAATGAAGAACAAATAACCCAACAAAATGCTTTGGAAATATGAATGTTTTAGCTACTCTAAATAAATGAGAGCGAAATTAACTTGTAAAATATTATGGAATTCCAACTCCATCTAAATGTGCAGCTTCTAGCAAATTGCTGTTTTGGGTTTGTTTTGTTTTGTTTGGGTACATAACAAACACTATTATTATTTCATTTAGCTATTCTAAATAAAAGACCTAAATTAATTTGTAAAATATCATGGAATTTCCATTCACTTATATTCAAATTCAGGAAGGTACTGATATTTTAATCATTGTAAAACTGCCATTATCCATTGCATAAATTTTTTCCTTGGTACTACCACAAGATGTCACCGTAAGCCTAACATCTAAATGTGTTGTTTCCAGCATGTTGCTGTTTTACGGGTTTATTTGTTTTGCTTTGTTCTGTTTTGTCTTGGTACATTAATGAATACTGACTGCTAACTTTTAAGAAACTAAAGTGCCTTTTTCCACTGTCAGTTACTGGCAAACATAAAATCAAAACAAATAATACAAGGACTCTAGCAGTAAGACGGAAGAAAATTAAACAAACAGTTCATTTTCCATGTTTATCAGATATCCTGGTATTTATCATAAAAGCAATGTATCTCATTATTGGATTTTATATTGTTTTACTTTTTTATTTTAAAAAATTTCCAAAATGAATATATGTTGCTTTTATAGTTAAAGTTATCTTTTAAAAATTTAAAAAACATGATACCTTTGCTGTCACCTTCTACCATGTTATCACAGAACTCATTTATAAAATGCTTTTATGCACTGCAATAGTGGTAAGTTATATACACAGAATCATGGTCCTTGGAGACATACCATCCAAAACATACTCTTTTTTTTTTTAAGCGTAAGATGAAGTCACTTCATTTGATGTGGTACAAAAGGAATTCATTTTATAGTGTGCTTTACATCTGCAGAGGATTTGGTTTCCTGGTCCCATGTAAATATTATGCCATATTCTGCAATAATAGTATTTTTTATTATTCATTTGTATTAGTTTTTCTGCATTATGATTCTCTTCTATTTCTGCAGCTAGTTGAGATTCATTCAAGGTATTATTTCAATGTACTGGCTATCTGACAATAGGTGAAGCTACTACCTTCTATTACTTGTAACAAAAAAAAGGGGTGGGAGGGAGTTGGTTTAAACAGAAACAAATCAGAGACCATAAACAATGCCCTATTTACCAACAGCTCCCCATCTATCCTTTTATAAAGATATAAATCCCCTTCAGGACGCACAAGTCTACATGGCTTTTCTTCTTTTGTGTCCTTAAAGAAAGTACACAGTGAGACCACTCAAACATTCAATAATAATAAATCAGCAATCAGTATTTAGCTACCCACATCGAATTCAATAGAAAATTATGTTTCATTGTTGCTCCATTCTTTGCACTCCGGTTTATCCCAAAATGACTTTTAAAGACCAGCCACAGAAAAAAAAAAAAAGACCAGCCACAGCAAATCTATCCATTCAAAGCTGGGTATTGGGATTACTTACATAACAGCTTTTTACAGATTATTGTTGTCTCTCATTTTACTAGAAAAATTCAAATTACACTAAAGGCTTTAAGCCAAGATACCTACCCTTCACTTAAAATAATGGCAAAACACAATTCTTTGTCACTTATTTGTCCTTTTATTCTAGGTAATGGTGTTATCAAATTATTACATTACCAAAACGTAGTAGATCTGAATCATCCAACGATATGCTTCCTAAATCAAGTTCTAAAAAGCTCAAGTTCTCAAAAGACTTAGCCACTCTTAACTAAACATATTATACAAATCCATTTAGATACATTGCCATTTAGTTAATGACCTTTTAGTAATTATCAATTAGATGACACTATTAATTTTTAGTTGAGAATTTGTGGTTGAAAAATGTTCTCTAAAATGCTATTCTCTAATGACAAGGTTTATTTAAATTCACTAAGACTCCATTTAGAGTTGTTTTTATTTAATACTAGCTAAGATGACTATAGTTATTTGTGTCATTAATGTTTGCCAGCCACAGTAGAATAGTTTTTCAAAAATTAATCCACAGGCAAAATAATCCTATAAAGGTTTTTACTTCTATTTTTATTCAATAGAGTGATTTTCAAATTTTCAAAATTTAATGGCTTTTAAAATTATATTCAAAGTATAAAGTTGGGGTTTTATCAAAAAGTGTAGATATTTATAATGAAAACATATTTTCATGATTAAGCATTATAAATTCCTATTTTTACATTTTATATAAATAATCACCAGACCTGAAAAAAAAATGGAAATATTTAGTAGACTAAGTTATTTCTTTAAAATGTACAATGTAAGCCCAATAAAATATATAGTATAATTGATTGGGTTTTTTTAATTGTTTAGTTAGCTCATTGTTTTTGTTGGGGGAAGTATTTGTCTATTTATATCTTTTGCTAGTTTATTTTATCTCTTAAAATACAATGAAAAAAGAATTAAAAGCTATCTATTTGCATAAATGCAAAAGATATGTGTATAAAGATATACATAAATAAACCATATCCTTGACTTTCTTCATGATCTTTAATAAACAAGAGAACAAACATAGGTTGAAGATTATATGATTAGATTCATGACAAATTGATAAGAATGTCAAAGCACTGAGATTTTCATCAATAAACTTTTTAATTCTGAATTATAAACTTTCCTAAGAGAAATAAGAAAGATGAAAAGAGAGTTTGTTTTATTTTTGTTTTAAGAGAGTAAAAGTAAAACTTTGATTCTGAATAGAATGCGAATGTGACCCATCATTTTTGTGTTAGACAATTCCTTCTCTAGAGTAATGCGGCTTCCTTCTCTAGCATATTTGTTATCAATTTTTGGAAACAAACTACTCAGGTTTTTTTCTGTGTAAACTTTTCTTCCTATATAAAACATTCTTTCAATATTTACATTTTTCAATAACCTGTACTTTATTTCTATTTTATAGCAATTCTTTTTTAGGTTAACCTTAAAAAAGAAAAAGGGAAACTAAAAAAAAAAAAAAAAAAACCAAAAAATAAAATAATAAATTAATAAAGTAAAATAAACTCTTCGCATATTAAAATTATTCCAGTTTGAAACTTGGTTAACATCAGGTTTTTTGGTTTTTTTGACCACATTATTCAAACTATTAAGCCCAATTCTGACTATTAAGATGATAAATAATGTAATACATACCTAGCAAAGCTTGAAATAAGCTGCTCTTAAAGATACCCATCACCTTTTTAACAGCAGTTTTCAACAGCTGCTCCTCTGGTTTCCTCAATTTTCTGCAGTATTCTTCCAGTAATAGTAAAGCTCGGTCAGTATCTGAAAAACATTAAATTAACATTCTATCTCATGGTCTCAGTAAAACAGTAAGCTAATTAACTATTCTTTAGTTGTGTTCCTAATTTTATGACACAAAATAATTTAGTAAAATAATCATGAATTCTATAAACTACCATATGAAATTGATAATTACACTCAACACCTAATTGCAATAACCCACTTTTACTTCTACAGTCCTGTCTTCCAAAAGAATCTGCAACTGTTAAACAAAACAAAACAAAGAATGCAATGCTGGCCAGATGTTCAGATTAGATGTGATTCTCTCCTGTCAGAAAAACTATCTTAAAATTGATGACTTCATGCAAAAATAACATCCAAATTCCTCAACATAACCACTGAGACCTACCTCTCATGATCAATTTGCAACCTGTATTTTCAGCCTTACTTCCCACTATATACTCCACCCCCTGCAAGCACACACACAGTGCCCAAGTCATACTGGATTACTCACTTTTTCATTCCACTTCCCTCTACACACACACACACACACACACACACACACACACTTACTCTCTCTCTCTCTCTCTCTCTCTCTCTCTCTCTCTCTCTCTCTCTCTCTCCTTTTTCTCACCTCTGTACTTTTCTTTGCTCCTCCTTCTCCCTGTACTGGAATATCCTTCCCCTTACCACTGTCTCCCCCTAGAATCAGTGTGCTCTATTGAAAAGGGTTTGTTGTCAACTAGATCTAGGTCTGATCCAGATCTTACCTACTAGCTGTGTATGACCTTTAACAAGTTACTTAAACTCTCTGAGCTTTAGTTTCCTCACAGGTATTAGGATTAAATAAGACAATGTATGCATAATGCTTAGCACTATGTCTAGCACATAGAAAGCAATGAAAAAATTAACTGAAAATCTACCTTCCCTTAATGTAACCTAACTCTAATGCTCTCTCTTCCATAAAGCCATCTCTAATGGTTAAAGTTAATCACTATCTCTCCCATTTTTCCAAACCATTTTGCCTACACAAATACTGTAGGCATTCTTAACATACAATGTGTTATATTATGACTTCTTGAATAATGTCTTCACCCTTCGCAAGACAAAATATACTTGAAAAAGTCACCAGAGTGACACTCCCTTTGCATGTAGGTGGTGATAATTGTCTTAGAATTTTAAGAGTCCTCTTCCCTGTCCTATCTACCTCTTTCAAAAATAGCCTAAATACCAGTTATAATAACAATAGTTTATATTATTGAGTACTTTATTTCATATCTCCTCTTTTCTCCTGAACTTTCCAACTCTTCTTTCCCACAGCCATTCTAGCTATTGACATTACTTCTCATTTCATGGAAAATCAGAAGACAACTTTCACAAGCTCCTGATATAACATCCACTGACTTACTTGTAACTGTACCCATATATTCTGCCTTCTCTTCTGTTACTATGAATAAAATATCTATGCTTCTATCTAAGGCCAACTCCTCTACTTAACCATTGGAATCTATCTTCTCTTACCTACTGAAGGACATTGTTCCACAATCAGTTGTTTTCTTCTCTATTCAGTCATTCCCATCAGCATACAAAAAACTATAATATTAGTGATTTTTAAAACCTTCCTTAACGCTTCATTTCTCTCCAATTAGCTTCTGTCCCCATTTCTCTTTTCCCCCTTACAACAAAACTCCTTAAAATACTTACTATCTCCACTTCCTTTCCTTTCATTCTCTCTTGATATCACTCTAAATTAGACTTTTCTGTAATTTCACTAGGCAACTCTAGTTCATCTATCTTCTCCACATTACTAAATCTAATGGTCAATTCTCAGTCATCTCACTTGACCTATCAGCAGCGTTTGAATCTGTTGCACTCCTGAAAACACTTTCTTCACTAGGCTTCCAAGAAGAGGTGTGCTAGCAAATGTTTAACAGCTGGTTCCAATAAAAAAGAAAATGTGTGCACCTATATATGTCAGGAGTTTATTATAAATTTTACTGATAGAAGGATGTGTAGCACCCAGTCTACAAATAATAATAAGATATGCAATGTTTTGTTGTAAATTCCATTAGTCAGTTGATTTTTTAAAAAGTATTTTTGTTGGTTTTTGCCAAATTCTTGTGATCACAGCCAACTTAGTGTTGTAATTGATAAATGAGTAGTTCCAACATGAATGTTGGTTGATCATTATATTTTGTTACATTAATAAATAAGATGAAAATAAAACAACAAAGATGGTTTATGTGAAAACCTCTCTTTCATCAATTATGTGATGTCTTTGCTGAACCAGATAATAATTTTTTAATAGTGGACAAATATTTCCTCAATTTCTATACCAATAACAATGTAACAGCTACAGACACAATTTACTTTTAACTTACACTTGCATCATTAACATTTTTTATTACTTTCTTATCAGCAAAACAATTAATCAAGCCCCAATTTGTAGCATTTGCAATTTCTGAGGTGTGAATATTCCCACCATGGCCAATCTCAAGCTACCAATGTGACATCCCTGAATACAGATCTGGAAAGAGATGCACAACAGCACATTATATAGCTTTTCTAACATACAATTATAAAAGATTTAAATAACCTCAAGAGCAGAGATGGTATCAAGATGAAACACAATTAGGAATTGGTAAGTGTTCAGTATTTATTACTTTTATTTTTAATATAATTTATTTACATTTATATACAATTCTTAAATGGCTGTGTTTAACAACCAGCTTGCAAATTTGCTGAAAATGTAATAGGCTCTTGGAAGCTGATCTGAGCCAGCTGCAGCACACCACTGTTTCCAGGGCAGCACTCTCTTCTAGGTTCTCCTCCTATATCACAGATGCCCTTTCTCAATCGCTTTTACTAGTTCCCCCTCATTTCTCACATCCTAAGACTTCTCTTTATTCTTACTCCCTAGGTAACGTTATTCAGTCTCCTAGATAATCTTATCCAACCTCCTAACTTTAAATATTATCAGTACCCTCAAGACTTTCAAATTTGTATCTATAGTTCAGAACTTTCCCTCAAATCCCATACATATACCCAACTAAATACTCAACATGATGTCTAATAAGCACCTCAAACTTAACTTGTCAAAACTAAACTCTAGATCTTATCCACCCACCTTCAATCTGCTTCTCCTGCAATGTTCTCCATCTCTCATTCTTCCAATTATTCATACCCAAATTCCTGGAGTCATCATTCATTCTTCTCTAATTCTGCACATCTAATCCATCGGTAAACCCTGTGGGCTCCAACATCAAATTGTAAACAGACTCTCATCACTTCTCACACCTCCATTGCTACCATCCTGGTCCAGGTCACCATCATCTATGTCCTGCATTATTGCAATAACTTCCTACTAGTTTATATGCTGTCACTTTTGCCTTCCTACAGTCTTTTCTAAACACAACAGCCAGAAAGATCCTTTTAAGTCACAAACCAGATTATGTCACTCCTCAACTCAAACCCTGCAGTGACTCCCCACTGCACTCAGAGCAAAAGCCCATCTCTCTAACTTCAGCTCTTACACCTCTCCTTTTGCTCAGTATATTATACCCACAGTAGTCTCTACTGTTTCTCAAATATACCAGGAACTCTCCTACTTCAGGACCTCTATACTTGCTATTCTGCCTAAATCATTCTTCCCTTGATATCCATAAAGCTTACGTCTTCACTTCTTTCATATCTCTGCTCATATGTCATCTTAGTAGTGAGGCCTTCCTTAATACTCCTATATAATATAGCAAACCTCAAGCTTAGCCTCTTGAAAGAAATAAGAATCTCAATTAGGCAATAATGGATGGAGGAGGAAATGAGTGCAGTATTTATCTTCTACTAAGGTTAGAAATATAAAAATGAATATAGATGAACCAACCAGGCGCTCTCTTCAATTTCAAAATAAGATATATTAACAAAGAATGGTGGCATGAATATATGCTAATACATTTGAATAGAACTTTAATTTTTAAAAATGCTTTCATACTTTACTTATATAATAGTTTTAACAGCTCTGAATCAGGGACAAATATTTTAATCCCCATTTTGTCAATAATTAAACAATCAGCAGTTTCCCTGAAATGATAGTGGCTTACTGACCTCACTTTCTAACGCATTTCTACCCACTATTTCCTAATGTAATACCATATTATATTATGCCTCCCTTACTACTTATATGTATTTGGAGGCTCTAATCACATGATTATCTCTAATGTCGAAGACTTTAGTTTTTTTCATTTCCTTATTTGTTCAACAGATATTTTTTGAAAACCTCCTAAGTTCCAGACACCTTTTTCTTTTCTCTCTCTCTCTCTTTTTAGAATTATAACTTTGAAGTTCTTTTTTACTTCTGTGGAATTTTTAGAAGTATTTACTTATTTTAGTCTTTTATTATTTTGAAGGGCAATTCTCAAAAATGCATTAGTAGCATTCCCATAATCACAACTATAAAATAATTTGCTAAGTAAGGAGACCTTCACTCATTAAAGTTGAGTAATTACACAGGGAAGATATCGTATTGATTCAAAGCAGCAAGATGTTCTCTGAACCAGCAGAGTTTATTATGACCCTCATCTTGGTTTGAGAAAAATCTGTCACATAAAAAAAAAAAAAAAAAAATGGACCAGGTACAGTGGCTCACGCCTGTAATCTCAGCACTTTGGGAGTCCAAGGGAGAATCACTTGAGGCCAGAAGTTTGAGACAAGCCTGAGCAACACAGCAAAATCCCATCTCTACAAAAAAATGAAAAATTAGCCCAGTGTGGTGGTACACACCTGTAGTCCCAGCTACCCAGGAAGCTGAGGCAAAAGGGTTGCTTAAGCCCGGGAGTTTGAGGCTGCAGTGAGCTATGATAGCAACGCTGCACTCCAGCATGGGTGACAGAGTAAAAGCATGTCTCTAAAAAATAAATAAACAAATAAGAAAAAACAAAAGGTCAAATATGATCGAGTCTCTTTCAGACAACTTAAGATTTTGTACACCAGCATCTAGTGCTGGAATTGTGGCTGCCCTTTTATGTTTCTTTTGATTATTGATAATG